AATATTAATTATTAAAAATAAAAAATAATTAATTAAAATTTTATATAAATATAATATATAACATTTAGGTTAAACCTCAAATTTGGTCCCTAAACTATTATACAGATCCCAAATTTAGTCATACTGTTTATCAATTTGCCTTAAGTTGGTCTTTTCATAAAAAAAAAAAAACCTAACGTGTCTGTTACTTAATAATGAAAAACAATAATTGAATGATCAACAATAGTAACTTAATGGTTACGTGTCATATTAATAATAAGACATGTTAGTTGGTTTTTATATGGAAAGACCAATTTGAGATAAATTGTTAAACAGTAAGGACCAAATCATGATCCGTACAATAGTATAGGGATCAAATCAAAATTTATACAATAATTTAAGGATCAAATCAAGATCTATACAATAATTTAGGGCCCAAATCAAGGTTCATATAATAATTTAGGGATCCAATTAGATATTTAACTTAAAATTTATATATAAATAGATATTTATTTGCGAAGGAAAACAACCTCGACGCGCACGGAAACACCACGAGAAGTTGACATGAGCAGGCTACAGGAAATCAGAGATGTAAGTTTTACTTTGCATTGGCGTAATGGCGTGTGGTTTGATTAAAATTTTATTATTTTTTAAGTTAATTTAATTTAATTGATTAATAAATTCCCAACCTACAGGTCGCCACCCTATCTCAAAATTACCCAACAAATAGAGGGGTAAGGGCCCCCTTAGCACAAGCATGTGTCTCTGCTTTACCAATCCTCCTCAATCCCTTGTAGCCTAAACTATGGAAGGGAACTAGAGCCCCTTGCAAAACATAATCAGCTTCACCAATGGCATCATGTTCCTCTTTGCCAAGTCTCCAAACAAACACAAGCCTCCCCAATCTCCACCGAATACTTCCAATCATGTGCCCATCATTCCCGATCATTTGAAAACCCTTGCTGGCGAAGCTTGTTAAAGGAACTAAAGCCCCCTTTCCTACATGAGTAGCATGCTTCCCTTGTAGATAAGAACCCAAAGTGCCAACAGCAACCATGTCTTTCGGTATTTGGCTGCCTTATCAGAAATTGGATTGCGCTAGTTTCTCTGAATGCAACCCTCGCCAAGATCTCATCTAAGGAGACTTGCCGAAGTGAAAATTCAACTTAGTGAATGGGAGAAATCCAACCACCAGCAAGAGCAAGTCCCTCGGTATCCAAACACAACCGTCAAAAACTAACAGTCGATAGACCCTGCAAATGGGCAGGTTGGGTCAGGTTCAAGTTGGGTCAACTCAAGTGATGGGTTATACAGGTTGGGTTATGAACGAGTTGCAGGTTGAAAAAGTCTAATCTTAACCCGTCCCTAATGGGTTACGGGTTAACCCGTAGATCGACCTTATTTTAAGTTTTTATAACTATTTTTTATTAATTTTATTATATACAATAAAATTATATATATCTAAATCTAATTAAAGTATTGTGATTTATTAAAACTAAGTACTTTATAGTCTCAATCACAAA